GGACCGGACAGGTGAGCACCTCAGGGTGGGTTTTTTTAACGTTGCATCCAAACCTCTTCTAGTTAAAAACCAACACAACGAAACCCCAACAAAAAAAAAAAACAACAAACCCACAACAACAATGAAAACGGTTTTTTTTTTTTTCCTGATGTATTTTCCACTCACAGCGTGGTTTCTTTGCAGCCAGCAAAGCTCAACTGCTTTGTTCACTGGTGCTTTCACACAAAATTTGCAACATCCCTTTCTAACTGGCTGATGTGCATATAAGGTACTTTAATGTTACCAAACTGTAATTTAAAAATCTGACCCCTGAAGCACACAGCTTCAGCCCTCCTTGGTCAAAATTGGGTTACTTCAGGTTTGTTCTAGTATCCCATCCTTTTGGCATGACTTTGTCTTTACCTCCTTGTGGCTAGGGATGTGCTGTAAAAACAGCATAATTTTTGTTTTTCTCTCACCAGTTTCTCTCAGCTATTGTTGCTGTGGGCATGAAGCAGTGAGAAGGTGGTGCTGTGCTAGGCACACATGCATGAGGGACATCAGTGAAACTACAGAACAACACTGGGGTACTGAACATAATGCCCACCCAATGCAGTGTGTATGTCACAAAATACACCCCTCTGTGGGGTCCTCCCTCTATCCAACAGCTGCTGTTCCTGTTATTTAAGATGGCATCATTTTCCTGGCAGACAAGCTGAGCAAAATGAGCACGTAAAACTGCAGCCCATGCACTTGGCCTAACTGGAGTCTTGCCTTGCTGTAAAAAGGAACGGTACTACTTTTAAACTGGAATCAGGTAATTATTGCTCATCTCAGTTCACCCTGCAGCATCCTGGAATACTTGGGACACACATCTGGGAAAGGAGATACAAATTAAATTTTGCCTGAGGGTAGAGATGAAGTTCCATCATCATCTGACCAGAACTGACTTGGACAGTGTCCTGAAAGGGGTAAGACAGCAGATGAGATTTACATGCACAAACGAAGATTTATTGTAAATGGTAAAAGAGTTTTAAAATTTTAACTAAAAAGACATAGATCAGATTATTATACGAGTGTTAGCATATTAGGGTCGCAAAACAGGATATTAGGGTAATAAACCAAGATATCTTAAAATAGTTGGTTACTATTGCATTAACCATTTGGATGCTAGCAACTTACTTATTAATGGGCCTTCTACTGGATCTAAAACAACGATTAAAATAATTCCTAGGCAATGTGATAGTAGTGTTTGCAGTCTTTTCCAACTTGAAGCTTTTCTTTAGATGTGAAGTTAGCTAATGGAGATGTGAACAAATGTATAGGGATTTTGTATTTCTCACCCTTCATTTGGCTATAGCTGAGTGTACCCTGTATCTCAGCCTCTTGAGGAGTAACCACTCCAGCAGGTGTCCCCACTGGAGAGGAGAAGGTCCAGCAGCCTCCTGGGAAAGTCTACAGGAGTCTCCCTGATCAAAGATGGGACCAAGCTTTGATAGAATAAAGTGATTGCTGTCATTTAACTAATTAGCTGTGCCTCCAAAATCCTCCATTGCAGAGCAAAAGGAAAAGAGGAAAAAAACAATAAAGCCTTTTTTCTCACCAAGCAAACTCTCATTTATCTGTTTGTTCTTGTTTTGTCTCCATTGTGGCTGGGCTGGGCTCCATGTTCTTCAACACAGGAGAGCAGCTGGTGTTACAGACATCAGCTTGACCTTCTGTTTGTACTTTCAAGGTTACCAGTTCAGAGCTTGCTGTGCCCTTTCTCACAGGAACCCTCCGACCCCAGGCTCAGGACAGTGAAACTGAAAGGAATTGAATCACAAAGGGAAACTGAGGCAGGCACCCTGAGATGGAGCGTCCTGCTACAGACTGAAATGTTTACATGTCTTTTACAGTCTGCATAGGAACTTTCACTTACTTTTGTCTTGTTACTTCCCTAATTTTCTTCCCTTTTTTAGAGAAATACTTTGTTATAAGCTGAACTAAGAGCAAGATTTGAATGCAAAAAAAATGTTTGGTTTTATTTTATGGAAATAACGAGGAAGTTGTTTCATTTTATTGAAATAATGAATAATCCACTGCTTAGTTTTCCTTCCTGTTCTGTAACTTGTAAGGATGCCTGCCCCCCATGCATTTACAAATGCGATCTTTGCATATCGTTACAACGGTAGCTTAGAAAGTCATAAATACAGTCTTCTTTAATAAGCCAAAGGCTGTTTGCCCACACTAGGCACACTGGAAATGCCTGCAGAACCAGACAGCCCTGGAGATACAAAAAGGTTAATACTAGAAGCAGCTCAATTAAAAGTCAAGACTGCAGAGAAGAGCAGTATGGTCTTCCTTGCTCGTGCTCCTGCCACCCTGAACATCCTGGCAGACAATCTAAAGGAAGAAGGAATGAAAGATTCCAGCTAGATTCCAGATTAACCCAGATGGAGAAGAACCAGAACTCACTCTCCTGCCTCTCTGCCCAGTTGCAGTAACAATCACAAGAAATAAAAAGCCCAGCAAATGGAGCAGGAGCCAAATGTCTGATTTGTGATTTTGTTGCTGGGCAGCCTACCCCCTTAATCTGCTGTCTGTGCAAGGAGGGTTCTTGTGTGCAAATGATCCTGGGAACTATGAGTGCTATGAAGAGTGTTCCTCAAAATGAGCCAGTGTCTACTACCCATACTAGTAGATATGCTTACATTTTAAAGAGGTGCTATTCAGAAATGGCTTTTTTTATCTTGGTGAGCTCTATACTGTTGCATTATGAGACTGGAAAAGGAAAGAGATTTATCTGACCATATTCATTGCTCATCAGCAGCGAAAATTACAGAATTTACAAAATTAACTAGAGAAATCACTTTTATCTTCATACTAGCCAATGTAGCTCTAGTAATTGCTGCAGGTTATCCATCTTGAGCATAGGCTAGTCACAGACTTTCATGTCCTTCAGGTAAGGCTGGTGGCCCTAGTTGGCCTCCCAGGACTTGTCTAAACTTAAACATTAA